CACGCACGGCTAAGTTTTTGATTTATTGCAGAGATGAGGTCTCACCAAGTTGTCCAGGTGGGTCTCGAACCCACGGGCTCAGGCAATCCACTCACCTCAGCCTCCCAAAGCGCAGAATTGCAGGCTGAGCCGCTGAGCCCGGCTTTTCTCTTATTTAAAAAATTGCATTATTTCTACTTTGCCAAAATACATCAGCTCCATATACTGTTCCTCCTTCATCCCTTTTAGTCTCGAATTTACAGTTACAATATATTTACGTTTACCTACCATCAGCTCCTTTATTGTTTTCCTAGTCACCTTTTAACTGAATGAAATTTGCACTGACTTCTTAGGAAACACATTCAACGACAGTATTACCTGGGTTCTTTCGTGTTTAAAACATTTTCAGTAGCTCTGATTTTTTTTTTTTTTTTGAGTCAGAGTCTCACTGTTGTCCAGGTTGGAGTACAGTGGCACACTCAAAGCCACTGTAGACTCGGCCAAGAAGCTGGAACTACAGGCATGCACCATCGCACCCGGCCAAGGTCTCGGTGTGCTGTCCAGGCTGGTCTCAAACTCCTGGGCTCAGGCAACTCTCTCACTTCAGCCTCCCGAAGTGCTGGGATTACAGGCATGAGCCACCGTGCCGCTCATCAACTGAGTATCTTGGCCCTTATTTTAACGTAATAGTGTTGTATAATCTCGTTTGCTGTTTTCTGTTCGTTTTTTAATGTGAAACAATTTTAAATTGTGTGCTACCACGCCCCGATAATTTTTTGATTTATTGTAGAGGACTCGCCCAGTTGCCCAGGCTGGTCTCAAACCCCTGGACTCAGGCAATCCTTGTGCCTCAGCCTCCGAAAGTGCTGGGATTACAGGTGTGAGCCACCACATCTGGTTGGCTCTGACACTTAAAGTACAGTTTTGCTGAATATAAAATCCGTGACAAGACCTTTTTCTGTGTATTTCTCAACAACTCTTCTTCTTGTCTCACTTTGTATGTTGTTGAACACCCTAATGACAACCTGATTTTAAGTGACTCTTTTCCCCCAAATACCCTGGAATTTTTTTTTCCCTCACCCTATTTAAAGTCTAATGGTTTTAGTAGGATATGTCTTGGAGTTGACCTTTCTGGATCCAATACAAAACATTTTTTATTTCTGGTAACTTTTCTTGGCTTATAGGTTTAAATATTAGCTGTTTCACTGTTTTCTTCAAGGACTCCAATTATTGGTATGTTGGGTCTATTTTGTGTCCCTTGTCTCAATCATTTTCTGATCACTTTTCCTAATTATTTTCATTATCTTGGCTTTTCATGCCTTTCTTCAGATCCCTTTAATAATTTCTCAGGTGAACCTATTCTCCCTTGGGTCCCTTGTTATTTCATCTACAAGACAACTTTGTCTTCATCCCTCAAACTTTTGTTTTTTGAGTTGGAGTCTCACTCTGTCGCCCAGACTGGAGTGCAGTGGCCGTCCGTGGCCGTCCCTGGCCACCGCAGCCTTGACCTGCTGGGCTCCGGCGATCCTTCCGCGTCAACCTTCTGAGTAGCTAGAACTACAGGCGCGCGCTACCACGCCCGGCTACTTTTTGATTTATTGTAGAGACGAGGTCTCGCCAAGTTGCCCAGGCGGGTCTCGAACCCACGGGCTCAGGCAATCCACTCACTTCAGCCTCCCAAAGGCGCGGGATTACAGGCTGAGCCACCGAGCCCGGCTTTAAAATTTTTTTTTAATTGAAGCAATTTCAAACTTACAAAAAGCTTTCCAGTCTCTCCTTTTCTTCAATAAGCTTGATAATTTAAGAATGAAGCCCACTTTTTTCATTCCATTCACTGATGTTGCCTAAATTAATGACTGGGATAAGTGGCCAAATAGTGGCTTTCTGATTCCATTATTCTTTCTACATTTAACAGTTCTACTCTGAAGAACGTTCCTTTTTCCTTCACTGATAAATTTATTTACACTTATACATACTAAATCAATATGTATCACAAATACTCCTAATTCTAGGGTCATACCTAGAAAGTACTTAGAAGAAAAGGTCATGATGTCTGCAGCTTACAAATATTTCAGTAAAATAATAATAGTAATATACACACAAATACAAAAATATTAAAGCAAATGTGGAAAATGTTACCAATTATCAGTCTAGGTGAACAGTACATGGGAAATCACTGTGCTATTTCTTGCAACCACTTTGCAGACCTCAATGTTTCAAAATATAAGGTCAAAAATACACAGCAGTTTTAATTGAAACACTATTTCTACCTTCACAGATATTTGAAAACAATTAAAATTAGCCTACAGATTTAATTTACCAGCACTTGAACATATTCAGACTTTATTATCATAGACTATGGAAATTTAACACTAGCCAACTGTGCAGCAGTCCTGAGGCAGAGGAAGAATACCGTACTCAAATATCACACATTAAGAACAGTACCACGTGTGACAAAACTGTTCCTTGATTCAGTAAACCAAGCTGGACAGATGAGCCAGCTCAAGGAGAATGGCTACAATTGTGGGAAATAAGCGAACTTATCACATAGTGAACATCACAAATAATATTAAAATGTTAGAGGCTTGTAAAGTTCAGAATTTTTCCCTAAGACCATATAGATATAAAATATATAGAGAGAGACAGGTTCACAAGATAGAAACCTGTACCTTAGAGCACTCTGAGATTTGAGTAAAGCATACATTACAGACACATTTGCTATACAGTGCGATTTTATTGTGTAAGACATGAGTAATAGTGCATGTGAATCCAAGAGTCACATTCAAATACATCCAGAGTACAATCCAAATACCCAGCTATTGGAGAAATACATACTCTTTTTTATAAACTAAGTTGTGTAAGTACATTTTTAGTGTAGGTGGTGACAGATCTATAAGGATTCTAAACAGTGGGACTTAAGGTTTATTTTATAGAATAATTCACTTCTCCAAAGATATGTGCATTTTAAAAGTAAAGCAAATGCCTTGGCCAAACAGACACAAGGAATGGTGTACAACTCAGTTTTATTACAAATCACAAATATAAGTTAATCCTTAGACTTGCAGATGGTTAAACAGCATGGCTCTAAACATCAGTAAGCTCTCATCAGGAATTACTTCTCAGGACAATATAGCATTTACAATGAGTCCTATTATTTTCCACTAAATTGAGCACAAACTATTATTCTGCAGTATAGTTCAAGAAATAGGACATTAGCCTTTTTTTTTTTTTTTTTTTTGAGTCGGAGTCTCCCTCCGTCGCCCAGGCTGGGTGCAGTGACACACTCACTGCCACCACAGCCTCGACCTGCTGGGCTCCGGTGATCCTTCCACCTCAGTCTTCCAAGTAGCTGGAATCACAGGCACGCACCACCATGCCCGACTAATTTTTTTGATTTATTATAGTGATAAGGTCTCACCATGTTGCTCAGGCTGGTCTCAAACCCCTGAGCTCAGGCAATGCTCTCACCTCCACCTCCCAAAGTGCTGGGATTACAGGCGTGAGCCACCACGCCCGGCTGACATTAGGTTTCTTAAAAGAGAATTTAGATTAAAAGTTTAGATTTTTAAAAACCCAGTCTTAGAACTTCACAGGGTCTCTTCTGGGACTAATGGTTTAAAGGAAGAAGATGCTATGGACAGGGGATTTTAAAGACCAAGTGACGGTAGAAGTAATTTCAAGAAAGTAAAAATGGAAAAACTCATATTATTAAAAAATTAGTATTCATATCATCTGAGAATAAATATGAGTGAAGAAACCAGTCTTTTAATGTTTTTTAAGATGATGAATAACATATAAATATTATCTAGTAACAACTTAGGATACCAGATCTGTGGAAGGGTAAAAAAAGATCTGGCCCATGTTAAAGAATGAGTAGCCATGTTGTCTTGAGGTATAGCATAAACCTGTGTTGCAGGTACGGAATGACTTCATTCTCTGGCAAATTTCAAAGTTTCCAGAACAAGGGATCAGCTCTTCTAAATATTGCCCACGTTTTGTCCAGGAAATACCATTTTGATAACGCGTGCTTGTAATACCCTCTTGTAGTTTTCATTCATTAAAACTGGAAATGGGCAAATACCAAAGTCCTTATTATCTCATCTTAAGGCCTGATGCTAAGTGAACCTGATGACTTGACTATTGAAACAGCTATTCCTGAAACCAAGTAACTACAAGAGCTATGTCTTTACGTCGATTTTTTTCAAAGTGCAGCAAAACGTTATTCCCGTTTTTCACTTCAAGAGACTAAACTATGGTCAAATCTTTTCTATGATACGGATTTTTTATTTAGTATAAACCAAACACTGACTGAATCAAAGACTAAAATCCCACTAAATTCCATCCTTTAAAATGAAAAACAGTAAGACCTCACCTCTAAATCAAGCCTCAAAGTTCAAAGAAAAGTTTGTGAATCTCCCATATGGAATCTGAAATGACTGTCTATTATAGTCTTTCCAAGTTTTCTCAAAAATCACTTTGAAATCTTGCTTTGATGGCCTAAGTTTTCTTAGAAATAAAATACACTTACAGGTTGTTTCAAACCTGAATTTTACTATTTCTTCTTTTTCCCCTCACATTTAATACAATCAAGATAAAAAATGCTGACCAAATAATTATTGAAAAGTCTTGCCATCAAAAGTTTCAGGTTTCTAATGTAAATCAACTATGCTCTTCTGATTTTTTTAAAAAATTATTTATTTAAAACTAAGGATCCTTGTATTTTCAATAGAGGATTGTGGCGATCCTTTGTATTTTAAAAACACTCTTTTGGGGCCTACACTGTGCATTCCCCAAATGAATACCAGCTGATTCACTGTAAATGAGTAGAGAAGTTGATTAATATACATTCATTGAGCTATAGCTCACGTGATTACTATTGGCTCTGATGGGACAATTTGCTTGCTTACTAATCCTGCCACCATTCTCCTCAGGCGAGGTTTTTGTTCTTTGTTTGCAACGGACCACTTCTGCAATCTGTGTGCCACGCTTGCGCAGGGGCCACGCTAATCTTCTCGGTATCGTTTCAGTTTTAGTCTGTGTGCTGCCACAGTGAATCCATTCAAGTTTTTAATGCTCAAGTTTATCGAGCATCTCCTCATGAGTATCCATTTTATGTGTTCTTCTCATCCAAGGGAAGGTAACATAATAGTAATAACTAAAAACCCTCTTCAGATCACACTGACAATGCACTTATTCTTGACAGATTCCTTGACTTTGGGGAACCCCTAATATTTGCATTACTAAATGACCCTTTTGAAAGTGCATCGATACCAAATCTGTAAACAGATCTGAGGTTTGGGCTATCCCTCATTGTAAATCAAGATGAAAACTTGCCAGAACAGTGAAGACTGCTGTCCTGGCACGAAAGGGGAAACGAAACGGGAACAACACACAGCTGAAATGGCTAGCGCATCGGCTGCCCGTCAGAAAGACACGTACGCAGCGATGTCATCCAACTCCTCCGTGACCAAGCCTAACAGAAACTCCCTCAGGTTTCCACCCAGGGAAGCCCTGTTGCCAGCCAACATAAGCAGCGGGTCTTTTCTCAAGAAACAAATCTCTACCTGGCTTTCCTGTGGGTCTGTTACCTGAGAAGAAAAGGGCTCCTCTTTCACACATAGCCTTGAGACAGACACAAAGCAGAGAAAACAAAAGGGTCAGCTGCATGAAGACACAGCAAACAATTTCCTTTCTTATAGAACAGAGATATTCCACCCAAAGAAGAGACTCAGGGCATCTCTTATGCTCCCTGCTGCAGGGCTTCAATGCCCTCAAACTCCCAATGACAGCCAAAGAAGTAAGTCAAGAATAAGGCTGGGCTTAGAGAAGGCAGCAGGCTAATTTACCAAGAGAGTCTGGACTATCCACTGTTTCCTAGCCATTTGCTACAAGTCTGAGGAAGCAGGGGAAAAATGAAACTTGGAGATACAAAGCATTTGCCACTTTCTTAGGCTTCGGAATGCGGCCATAGCTTCTGCTAGTCGATTTTTAAAAATGTTATTTTTAGTTCAATACACAGCTCTAAAGCAGGATTCAGTGTCATGTGTTCTGCACTGAAATGGATATATACAGATGGTGTGGAAATGGTGTAAAGGTTACTCATCAACATCCTTTTAAAGAAAAAGCTAGAATGGATAGTATCTGTTCAAATGAGCAGTGCCATACACAGAAGAGTACATGGAAAGCACTGACCACAGACATTGAGAGTTGCAGGCATGAACAGACTAGCAAAGCATAAATGTCGCCATCACTGTGTCTATAACACTGAAACATTTCAAATCTATTTCTGAAGTTTAAAACTTAGAGCTGCATTATATTCATAAACTTCCCAACACATAATGGACAAATCAAGAGTCAAAATAAATTCGCAAAAGCCTCAGGACAACATGAAAATTTTAACCTTAGTAAACGCTTAGAATACTTACAAACAAAAAAAGATAATAAAACACACATACATATATAAACCAGTGCAATAAGAACTTTAGACAAGGGCAGTGCATCTCTGGTTTAAGAAAACCATAGTTGTAGCTTCGTTAAAACAAGCTAATTGTATCCTAGGCGATGGCTTAAGTTTACAGCCAGCATCTGATACACATTTTGGATGTATGGCCAAAACCCGAAAAACCAATCCAACAGCAACAATCCTCTATCAGCAACAGATTCCTACTTTCATTTTATATTGCACACGTTTTGGTGTCTACTGCTAAGATGAGTTTAACTCTCCTTCATGCAAATATCTCACCTCACGTGAATGTAACGTGATGTAACACCTGTTGCCCTTGTAGAACTACATCATTCACTCTGAATAAACATCCAGATTTTCCTTTCTGACAAGCCAGAGTGAGAATTTAGCTTTCTTCGTCCAAAACTATTTTAAAGAGAATGGCTATTTTATGTGGCAAAGATGTCAGAAATACCATGCTAAACACAAAATTCTTGGTTTATCGATCACTTCCCTTTGGAAAAACATTTCTATATTTGGAGCGTTTAAAAGCCTGACCCTTTCCCATAAAACCACCCTATATTCCCTAAAGAGATGAACCATATCTTTGACTGGTCTAGAACGCTGTTTGGAAAGGGGCACAGAGAGAAGCTTCAAATAAAACGGCATTACAACACAAGTGGCATTAAACAGGTTGTCTATTCCACGTCACATGAAATGACTAGCACCTCCTTCCCGCTCCCAAAGTGAAGGGGCCCAACAGGCCAGTGAAGTGTGAGTAAGTACAGTCAGTTTCATTCACAGGGAGGGAGATCCGTTCCATCCGAGGGGTCCCACATCTAAAGCCTTAGCCTGAGGCTGCTCTGGAACAGCGAGCTGAAGGGCGCAAGAGGGAGGCGGGCCCCGGCCCCGGGGAAGGTCTCTCCGAGCCTGGGCAGGCCACTCAGGGACTCTCTTGCTTCCCATCCTCTGTCTCCAGTTCTGCCAGCTGCCTCCTAAGGACATTGACTTTTGCCTGCAACTCTCGGTTATAGCCGATGATGTTGACCATTTCTTCATGTGCTTCATCCAAGTACTTAGAGGGTCTGTTCCAACGTAGGAAGAGACCTATTAAGTCCAGGAATGGAAAAAAGATATACCCGATGGATTAACCGTATATTCACAAATAACATATAATTCCATGTTTTATACATTCACTTTAGTTTCTTCCCCCATAACTCACATCTGTTTTATCACACTCTGTGATACACAGAATTCTGAGGTCCTGAAAAGACCACAATTAAATTATCTGAGAAGCTGCTATTTCTATGTACATGATCACTACTCTTCAGAAACATCCCACGTAATCATCACAGACCAAAAAGCACTTTGTGATAGACTCAGAAAAACAAGTTGACAATTTGCAATGTCAAACTTTCCAGTTTCATAATACAAATCATTTGTTTTTATAACAGAGTTTTACTCAAACATGCAAGCTCTCCTAAATGTGGGAAACCACCGTCATATGGTCACTGGATAAATGACAGCTACAGTAACAGCAGAACCACAAAGGTGTTGTTTAAAAGCTTAAATGTGAGTCAGTCTTTCAACAATTCTGCAGGCAACTACGTCTTTCCCCAACTAACAATACTTATCCTTATTATGGACTAAACAGATATCTTCTCTCTACATAGACTGCCAAAATAACACCTTAAAGATATTCAGGTAAGGAGGCAGGAAAACTTTCTAGGCTGCAGCATGTCATGTCAGCAGCTGGCAAGTTCACAAAGGTTTTAAGATTCATTAAAACATTTTCTATAACCAAACTGTCATGGGCCCTAATGAGCCCTTCTCTACAGACCCAAATGCTGCTCGCTGTCAGAAAGAAACCAGAACCCTAGCTTAAAGATGGACTGATCTGTGCTGGCTTTTCTATTTTAGGAACCGATTCTTCTAGAATACAGAAACTGCTCGATATTAATGGCTAGCTATGATGTAAATGTACACAGTAGAGAGACATTTTAAGGCCAAAGCTCAGTCTCGTTCAATACATACACTCCCACAGGATTTTACCTCACATAGAATTTCTGCCAGCTCTAAGTCGAGGAGGCACTAGACACATCCTGAAACTCTGGAGTGGCAGGAATTCACCTACAGAACAACAAAGACTGACTTCCATCACTGACGAGGGGGCACCCCAAAGAATCCGGAATTAGGTTTTGCAGTACAGGCTTCGCCACTAGGTAACTGTTCTAGAAACCCATGGGCATCAGTGCACCAGCTGGCATTGCTGTAAGAGGCTCCGGTGAATTCTGGGGAGGAGAGCCTTTCAACGATCTGCCCGTTTTGGTGGGTGACTTGCATGGACAACCTGCCCGCATCATGCGGCGTGTCCAGCAGTTTCCGACCCCAAACGGCATGCCCCCCATGCCCCTCCTTTCCTGGTCACCTGATCTCGCCCTGAGCGACTTTTTGTGTTTCCCTGAGTGAAAAAAGGCCTCAAAGGGATACATTTTGCTGGCGTGGAAGAAGCAAGACAAAAAGCAGCAGAAGCCACTAAAAGCCATCAACACTGTGAAGTTCAAAACTGTTTGGAGCAGCGGGAAAAGCATTTCAAATAGGTGAATTGCATCAAATGGAGAGCACTTGAAAGTGACTGAAGCTTAAACATGTCAAGAAGAAGACACACATCTTATGAATTCCAGGGTGTTTTTGGTCTCCTCTTGTAATCCCTATGCTCCCAGTGAGGCTTCATGACATCCTTCAGGCCACCCACCTCCCAACTGGTTTCCTCCCACACAGCTTCTCTCTCATTTCAGTTACTAAACATAACAGAGTTCCTAGAGTTTTAAACAAGGATAGCTGTGACCTCTCAGTTAGAGACTGCGTACCCTGCTACTGTGACCAGAGTCCACAACACTCAAGAAGTAAGCAAAGAGACATTTTGAGCAGTCACATTCCTTCACAAAATCAAAGCACTGAAGTTCACACTGAGAACCTCAGGACTATCTAAGGCCACTTACCCACAACTCTGACACCCCAACAAATAAGATTAGAAGCATCAACTGAGGTGGAAGGAAGCAGGTAATGGCAGATATGCCCAGAGGAACAAGATGTGACAGCTGACACCCAGAGAAAAGACAGACACTAACTCCATCTTGAACAGGGAAAGTAAAGCAATCTGAGATCCTTTTACATACAGGGCAAATAGTTTTCCACATGTGAATAGCCCTTGAGGGCACAATATATCAGAATACCGTGTGGCAACTGACATTTATGGCAATTTGGTTTAATTATCAAACAGCTACCATTCTCGTATGTATTTATGCTGCTTAATACAAATAAACATATGCTGTCTTCAAAATGACTAAAAAGAAATTAAATGGTATTTAACAGTCTTTGTTTAATGAATAGCCATATATTTTAGAAAGATATAACTTCATTCATTCATTCATTCATTCATGTTGAGGCAGAGTCTCCCTCTGTCATCCAGGTTGGAGTGCAGTGACATACTCACTGCCACTGCAGCCTTGATCTGCTGGGCTCTGGTGATCCTTCTGCCTTAGCCTTCCAAGTAGCTAAAACTACAGGCGCATGCTACCATGCCCAGCTTATTTTTTGATTTACTATACAGATGAGGTCTCACCAAGTTGCCCAGGCTGGCCTCAAACCCCTGAGCTTAGGCAATCCTCTCGCCTTGGTCTCCCAAAGTGCTGGGATTACAGGCTTGAGCCACCATGCCTGGCCAACTTTTTTTTTTAAACAAGCTTTATTACTTAAGGGGCAAGCTCCATTGGTCTGAAAAATTAGTGTATGTAAAAAAAACCTACTTTAGAATAGATTTGAACTTTTTTTTTTTTTTTTTTTGAGTTGGAGTCTCACTCTGTTGCCCAGACTGGAGTACAGTGGCACTATATATGGAGTGCAGTGACATACTTACAGCTACTGTAGCCTCGACCTGTTGGGCTTAGGCGATCCTTCTGCCTCATCCTTCCAAGTAGCTGGAATTACAGGCGTGTTACCACACCCTAATTTTTTAATTTATTGTAGAGACGAGGACTCACCAAGTTGCCCAGGCTGGTCTCAAACCCCTGGGTCAGGCTAAGCTCTTGCCTCAGCCTCCCAAAGTGCTGGGACTACAGGCTTGCGCCACCATATCCAGACTGATTTGAAAATTAAGCATGGATTACCATCTGATACAAGCAATGAGATGTCTGCATTTACTGCACTGATGGTATTCATGTCCATATGTAGACCCTTATTGCAATGTCTACTCATGTCACCCTTCAGTAGCACTTAACACAAGACACTATCCTGCCAGGCGCGGTGGCTCATGGCTGCACAGGCTTCCCTCAACTCAAAAAAAAAAAAAGACACGATCCTAATGACTGCTGGATAAAGGGGGATAAAACCCTTTCCTGAGGAGTCCCAACTACCTACCAACTCTCTGATGCCAAAAGTAATATATACTTTCTTATCTCGAAAAAATATCCGATGTAAACAGCGACATCTATTAAGGAAGCACTGCTTTCTCAAATAGGGACTGAAAAAGAGTGACTGGATAGCTGCCCCGAAAGAGAGGCCCATGCCCCCCGAGAAAACAACAATGCAAGTGGGCTCGAGGAACATGCCGCTCAACACTTCACATCAACAGCAGCACACATGAGCAGGTGGCCACGAGGGCACGCGTCCACTAACAAATAGCGTGCAAGGGCGTGTGGTTCACCTTCCATGAGAGCATACTTGGCCATCAACACAGAGTGAGCCAGGGATGCGTGGCGTACCTTCCCACAGTGGGAGACTCTGGGGTGCAACTGAAGGCCAGATGACGAGGCTGTTGGCTTCAAAGAGAGGATTGGTGAACTTGCTCAGCTCACTGGGCCGGTTGACCCAGGACCACAGAGACATCGTTTTCTGCTGCAGCTTCAACTTGCATCTGATCAAGAGAGAAAATGGCTATCAAGTTAATATATAACAACGACTATTACAGAGGAAAATTTCTTCTCTGTATAACAGAAGATGGAGCACACAACTTCAGGCAGAGAAACACAATGTTATAAAAATGTCTGTCAGAGAATGCAATCAGCATTATAGCTCTCAACAACAACAACAGAACAAAGACTATTTTATGTAACCTTTAATCTCCTAAAAATCAACCACCCCACTAATCACCAAGCATTTTAAGAACCTGCAAGGCCTCTGTTTTGCTCAGCATTTTTTTTTTTTTTTTGGAGTTGGGAGTCTTACTCTGTCACCTAGACTAAAGTGCAGAGGTCGCTCCCAGCCACTTCAGCCTCGACCTGCTGGGCTCCAGCGATCCTTCCGCCTCAGCCTTCCAAGCAGCCGGAATTACAGGCACACGCTACCACGCCCGGCTGATTTTTTTATTTATTGTTTATAAAAAAATTTATTTATTTATGTATTTTTTTATTTATTTATGTAGAAAAGAGATCCTGCCAAGTTGCCCAGGTGGGTCTCGAACCCGCGGGCTCAGGCAATCCACTCACCTCAGCCTCCCAAAGCACGAGATTATAGGCTGAGCCACCGAGCCTGGCTTGTTTAGCATTTTATAAAAGCCTATCTGGTCATGCAATCTTTCTTGGTGTACTACCTTTGAACATTCTTTGGTTTTCACATACAACAAAGGAGCTGTCAGTAGGTTTCATCTCCCAGCTGGTAGAGGATCGCAGCACAAAGTGTTCACTTACTTGCTGTCACTTTCAGTATAAGCAATGTGCCAGCCAGAACATTTGTGATACTCTGTGTCAAAACGTCAGGGTCTTTTCTAGGCTAGTGGTTATAGAGGATCAAAGGAAACTAACATTTATTTATTTATTTATTTTTGAGTTAGAGTCTCACTCTGTTACCTAGACTGGAGTGCAGTGCCAAGCTCCTGGTCACTGCAGCCTCGACCTGCTGAGCTCCGGCGATCCTTCTACCTCAGCCTTCCAAGTAACTGGAACTACAGGCGTGTGCTACCATGCCCGGCTAATTTTTTTGATTTTATTGTAGAGATGAGGTCTCACCAAGTTGCCCAGGGGGGTCTCGAACCCACGGGTTCAGGCAATCCACTCACCTCAGCCCCCCAAAGCGCTGGGATTACAGGCTGAGCCACCGAGCCCAGCTCATATCTATTTTTTTATTTTTGAGTTGGAGTCTCACTCTGTTGCCCAGACTGGAGTGCAGTGGCATACTCACAGCCACCCCAGCGTCGACCTGCTGGGCTCCGGCGATCCTTCTGCCTCAGTCTTCCAAGTAGCTGGACTACAGGCGTGTGCTACCATGCCCGGTTAATTTTGATTTTTCTGTAGAGATGAGGTCTCACCAATTTGCCTGGGCTGGTCTCGAACCCGCAGGCTCAGACAATCCACTCACCTCAGCCTCCCAAAATGCTGGGATTGCAGGCTGAACCACCAAGCCCAGCAGGAACATTTTTTTTTTTTTTTTTGAGATGGAGTCTTATTCTGTCGCCCATACTGAAGTTGCAGTGGCCGCTCCCAGTCACAGCAGCCTCGACCTGCTGGGTTCCAGCAATGCTTCTGCCTCAGCCTTCTGAGCGGCCGGAATTACAGGCGTGCGCTACCATGCCCGGCTGATTTTTTGATTTATTGTAGAGATGAGGTCTCGCCAAGTTGCCCAGGTAGGTCTCGAACCCATAGGCTCAGGCAATCCACTAACCTCAGCCTCCCAAAGCGCGGAATTACAGGCTGAGCCACCAAGCCCCACTGGAACTAACATTTTTAAATGCCTATAAATGACAGGCATCTTGTCAGTTTTCATGTTGGCTTATTTGATCCTCTCTACAACCCAGGGGGACAGATGTTAATTTTTGCCTTTAACATCAGAAAAAATAGATTCAGGGAAGTCACACAGTAAGTGGTATGACATGCAAACACAAATCTTTTAATTTCGGGTCTTAGCCAGGCATGGTGGCTCCTGCCTATAATTCCAGCATTTTGGGAGGTAAAGGCGAGTGGATTGCCTAAGCCCATGGGTTCAAGACCAGCCTGGGCAACATGGTGAGACCTCGTTCCTACAATAAGTCAAAAAAATTAGCCATGGTGGCACATGCCTGTAGTTCCAGCTATTTGGAAGGCTGAAGCAGAATGATCACCTGAACCCAGCAGGTCGAGGCTGCGGTGGCCATACGCATGTCACTGTATTCCAGCCTGGGCGACAGAGTGAGACACTGATGTAAAACAAATAAAAAGAAAGAAAGAAAGAAAAACTGCTGAACCTTGGCAAGAACAGCAGGTCTGAGCATTTGACCTTGGCCTATTGCAACTCCCCTTGCTCACATCCTCGGGATCACTGACAACCATCAACACTGCAGCCCCTGCAGGGGCCAGAGCAGGGCTGGAGCTCCTTAAAAAGTACCAACCCCAGTCTACCATCACTGCTCAGTATGTCTCATAGCTCGCTGGTAAAGCTTCCTTTGCAGAGTTGTAGTAATTTGGCTTGACTCAAGAGTTCTCTCCAAGAAAAGTCCTACCTTCCAGGGTGTTTTTTAAAAAACAATGAGCAGAAACTGTTTAGCATCACAGCTGCCTGAACATATATCAGTTTGGGTAAACAAGAGCCTGGCCAAAATGTAAAAGAAAAATCTAGGGAACGAGATGTCCACAGAAAACTTTGAAAGGCTCTGACATAATCCTGGAAATCTAAAAAGGTGTGCACATATCCAAGAGATACCTAAGACAGCCCCAGTCTCTCACCTCTGGCTGAATCCCAGCCCCTGCACAAGCAGAAAGTGAAAGTGTTTACCTGAGTGTTGACATCCCATCCCATACACATATATACATATAGAGCCTCTCAGCAAAGGGTAGAAGACTAATTGGTTTAGGACATTTAATGAAACTTCTGACTAGATAGAAGGCAGAGCCAAAGTATAAATTAAGACTTTTTCTAGCCACGTGCAGTGGCTCATGCTTATAATCCCAGGACTCTGGGAGGCGGAGGTAAGAGGATTGCCTGAGCTCACAGGTTGGAGACCAGCTTGGGCGACAGAGTGAGACTCCAATTCAGGAAAAAAACCACTTTTTCCAGATGTGAGATACTATGATCCTATATAAAGAAATTCATGTTTAAAATGGTTGCCGTAAGCCTGGGCAACTTGGTGAGACCTCATCTCTACAAAAAAAAAAAAATTTAGCCAGGCATGGTGGCACGTGCCTGTAGTTCCAGTTACTTGGAAGGCTAAGGCAGAAGGTCAAGGCTGCGGTAGTTGGGAGCATACCAGTACCCTCCATCCTGAGTGACAGAGTGAGACTCCAAATAAAATAAAATAAAATAAAATGGCTACCCCATTTCCTCAAAGCTTTTAAAATTGGTGTATGGGCTACTTTTATTTTATTTTTTATTTTTTTGAGTCAGAGTCTCACTCTGTGCCACCCAGATTAGAGTGCAGTGGCACGCTCCTGGGCTACTGGGACCTGCAGGGCTCTGGCGATCCTTCCCCCTCCGCCTTCCAAGTAGCTGGAACTACAGACATGCGCTCCCACGCTTGGCTAATTTTTTTGATTTACCGTACAGACTAGGTCTCGCCAAGCTGCCTGGGTGGGTCTCGAACCTGTGGGCTCAGGCAATCCACTCACCTCGGCCTCCCAAAGTGCTGGGATTACAGACTGAGCCACAGAGCCCAGCCCACTTACTACTTCTAATCAGCCATGAACTGGGAAACTGAATAACCAAAGCATTATCTTCTCATGTATAAACCCTATATGCCTAATTTGAATGTAAGCACCTCAGAAGATTGATTCCTGTTTGACACCTCGTGGAATCTCCAACACTTAGCATATTGCTCTGGATACTGGAACTATTCAATGATTGCTAATGATAAATGTCTGAAGGCCTTTTCTCTAAGTAGAATGCATGGGCTTTATGACAGCTGTTTCCATCATTTAGGTTTTCTGCTTACTTCCACATTCCCAGCTGTGTTCTGGATGGTTGTGCCAGCCAGAAGCCTGGGGATTTACTGTGCTTCTATTTCTTGATAAGATACTTGAAGAGAATAAACACATGGAAAATAGGACATTAAAGTAAGGGATAAAGAGATTTTTTTTTATTTTACCAATAAAGAGAAAGAAAAGAAATATCACCTAGCACACTGACACTTAATCAATAAATGACAGCAAGGCTAGCTTCATTTCTAATTCTCTCCAAAGTACTCTCAATGTCCTTGTCTTATGTCTCTACCTGCAGCAAAGCATTACTGGTTATGGTTCATAATTGTATCTTGATTTAAAATATTTTCCCCCAAGTTTTAAAGATCTTCCTCTGAATCCAAGTTAGTCAAAATTAAAAGCAAGCACTAAATTAAAATCTTATCTGAGATAACACGTTGTGATGAATTTCATTGAAAAATTCTTAATCATATAGAATCTCAGAAATTCAGAATCATAGAATCTCAGCATCATCTAGGCAGTGGTTCTCAACAGTAGCTGCTCATTAGAACTACTAGGGAGCTTTTTTTTTTTTAATTTTGAGTTGGAGTCTCACTCTATTGCCCAGACTGGAGTGCAGTGGCCGCTCCCAGTCACCGCAGCCTCGACCTGCTGGGCT